CTTAAACGAGGCGCCGCTACACCACAACTCGCACTCAGCGTTGATATCACGAATTATTACTCAGTAGGTAAAAAATTGTAAATATTGTATTTCACCCTTTTTGGGAAACTGGCTTTTCAATGTTGTCTTTTTTTCCCCCAAGGAAAAATTGTTTCATCGTTACTCTTTTTGTCCCACTTTGTCGGTACATCGCTGGCTTTCTTAGCCATCAAAAATAATACAATATAATAATACAAAATAATATTTGTAAGAGCCGAGCGGTGGAATATTTGATCCACTCTGATTTTTATAAAAAAGGCGTAAATAACTGCGAGTTAAATTTCAAAATTTGAAACCATTTTATAGATTTTTTTCTTGGCAGTAGAAATAAATACAAGGCAGTTTCTGTGAAAAACACTGAACATGTACTGAGGTACATGTTCAGTTTCGCCGCTGAGTTTTTAGGTAATTGCAAGCAGAAGCTCAAGGAGCCGACGGGCTACTCAAAACAAACAGAAAATAATGCAAGAAGATGCTTCTGAAGACATATATTTTTGTTTAAACACAAAATGGTGGGTCTGCAAGGCGCATGTACAATACATGTAGGACCCCAAAATGGCTCCAAGTTCAGCAACCAATGGTGTGCCGAGTCGCCCCCCCAACAACTGCCTATCGGCAGCCCGGTCGGTGGTTTACTACACCTTATAGCGGTGCATGCTGATAGGTTACTGGAAATCACACCCGTGAACCCCATTGGCCACAGCGCGGAGATATTCGACAGTAGAGTTACTAGGCTGAACAGCAGAGTTGGCACCGTTCATACCCCCAACACGGTGCGTCTGCCAATCATGAACCCCGGTGAAGAGTACTGTTGTTACAGTGAATTACTTAGAGGCCGGGACACGTGATCACTGCGCTCAGGAATCATGGCGCGTTATACCTCTTTCTTCAAACCACCTTTTCACCCATCTGGTGCCACCCTGTCCTACAGAGCTTGACAGTCCTAAAGAGTATTGAGACGTCTGGTGATTCAAAGATACCGTGGCTCCATTGAGAGTGGCTCTGCCTCACCACACTCCAAGCCAAAGCTGAGAATGGGGACGCCATGTGCAGTTTCATGGTCCCCGGTGGTGATGAGTTGTTTCGAGGGCGCTCGCCAGTCCGCCCTAAAGACACCATAATTAGCTTTTCCATCAGGCATTCAGGTGTATCTGCATGGCTCAGGGGGAGGCGGCCGTTGTTTCCTGACAAGTGGACTTCTCCGTTTCCCCCTCTCACTTTCTCTATTCTGGATGGTATGTGGTGCGGCTGATTAGAGGTGAGAGCCATATCGGTCGCTGGGAATTCACTAATGCAAACTGCAAACTACTGTATATTCGCTATTCACAGCCCATGCCCACACAGTAATAAGATAGCTGGCCGACTGACAAGCAGCAGTGGAGTGGAATGTGGAGAGTGGAGAGAGATGGATGAAAGACAAGGCAAATGGCAGCCTTTGTGTTTACGTGCGAGTGTGTATGGCTCGCTCTAACCGTGCAGCTGTGCATTCAGACGCATTGTCCAAAAAAAAATTGCATCTCATTATTTCTTCCCCCGTTTAGTATTCAGCAAGTTTAATAACTTGGTTGTTCCCTTTCTGGCCATTAATTCCGTGATGTGATAACTCTGAAGGATGCGCCGCTCGGAGAGAAAGGATTTTTACCAAAGCACGCTTCTGAATTGCACCTTATTTGTCATGTGTCTTTATACTGTATAATTTCAGCTAGCAAATTAATTCAGAGCTGAGCTCCCAGTGTCAGACAGGAGAATGGAGGGAGCTAAATGAGTAGATATTCTAGCCAAAGAGAGGGGCGAGTGTCATTCCAGGTTAATTAAATCCCAGCTTTGAGGCGTGAACACAGACCTCTTTCGGGATGATGATGATGAAAAAAACGAAAGAAGAAGAACTCTTATTTCATTTTGTGTGTCACCGGTACGATCATAAGTCTGATCATTGTCCCACATCTCTCAGCTGCGCAGCTGCGTTGAGCACATGTTTGTTCATAAACACGCGCTTCTTGGGCTCGTTACGCACGTCGTGATTGACAGGTGACTCACTATTTCCATTGTTCAGATCGCTTTGTTTGCAAAGGTAGCGTGTGCAGATCGGCTCCGAGAACGAGGAGAATTTATCTCCTTTCTTCATCGAAATCATCGTATATCTCTCACTCTTAACAGAGGATGTAGCAGACTGTGCTTTGTACCAAACAAGTGTTTACTATGCCTCACAGGCTCTGTTATTGCTAAGGCAACAGTATAGGGCGGCTCTCTTGTCCCCCCCCACTCCTCAACCCACCCATAATCATGATGTTCCACATTATGGTGCCTGTTTGGCTCTCAGTGTTCTCTTTTTAGTGGCGTTCTCGATAGGAGATTAACAACGCAGCGGTGTTGGTTATCCCTCCTAAAGCTGTAGAATAAGTTGCTAGCCTCCCGCTGATTTTCACTCTCAGCAACCCCTCATGGTGCCTCATTAAGATGCAGAGAAACGAGCGCCTCCGACCCAACGCTACAGTAAGGCCAGGCTTAAACGAGGCGCCGCTACACCACAACTCGCACTGTACAGCGGCCTTTAACAGCGCAACGGGTTGCTCCACGCATGTTTCCTCAGTGGGCTTTTTTTCCTAGTGTTTCTTTCCAGAGATGAAGACAAGCATGGGTGCGAGTGGGTGGGTGGGTGTATTTTTTTCTTTTCCTTGGACGTTGTGTGAGAGAAGGGCGTTTTGGAGGATTTGGAGATAAGCAGTTGTTCTCTCAATGAGCAGCATTTGAAGGTCAACTCCTCTCCGACTAGGACGTTAGTGAGAAGCCAAAGAATTTTTTATTTCAGTATGATTTAATGCACTGACGGTGTTTCTGTTTTCAGCCTCTGTTAGAAGCTTTTCGGCCTCTCTCCATTGAAGTTCTAGAGCTGCAGTGTAAATTTGCCAAAGTCAAACACAGTCAAGCAAGTGTTTCCTCATAATGATCCGTGTTTCTGATTTCATCGCTAGCTCTGTTACCCACGAGCATGCACATTCCTTGGTACACTATCCAATATGTGAGCTACCTGTTCTGCTTCCTGTTTTTAGAGCCGTACTTTGCTTTGATTCTGCTGAAACGTTTGTACAAACCTTTACTTCTCTGTCATTTTAATGAACATTGTTTCTTAAGACTGACCGGCAAGTGTCGTGTTCTACAATCTGCACTTTTCAGCGTTTGTTTCGTTTTTTGCTTTTCCTGTTGCATTGCTTTTTTTTTTTGCCCTTTTTTTTTGGAAATTGGGGGGGAAAGGAAAAACTCTAAACCCAAATGTGGCGTTGTCTGTTTCTTTTTCTTGTTCTACAGAGATGTTGAAGGAGTTGAACCAACAGCGCAGAGCGAAAGAGTTTACAGACCTGAAAATTATTGTTGAAGGCAAAGAGTTTGAAGTCCACCAAAATGTTCTAGCTTCCTGCAGCTTGTATTTCAAGGACCTGGTGAAAAGGTTTGCCTTCGCTTCCCCACCCCCCTTACCTTCCACCTTTCCCCCCTTTTCCCACCAGCTGTTGATCCAATCTGTTTTTTTTTTTCATAGGGCGCATTTGTGTCGCTTTTTTTCCCTTCCCCTCTCTCTCTTGCAGGTGTGTGAAGACTTTGGTTCCTAGCACAGGGCCAGCAGCCATTCCTTCCTCTTCCCACTCAAATGAATGTATATAAAAGTGGAGGGAAAAAACAAAAGTCCCCCCCACACACACACACACACACTCGTCATTACCTTTCCTCCCCATGTAGGGCAATTTAACCACATTTCCATTTTAACGAGCAGTGAAAATGTTCCATGACTGGGAATGTTTTAAAACTCACCAAAGGGCCAAAACAGAAACAAAACTCCACGTTGGGTGGCCGCACTGTGAGCAGCGGGATCGTTGCCTCCCATGCTACTATATTTTTCCGTTTCTGATTTCTTGAGTATTTTCAGAACAGCCTTTTCATATGCTAATACACCTTGGTTAGAGTGATATAAAAGACATTTCAGAGTCATAAAGGACGAGACAAAAAGCACATCTAAGACCACCACTTTCACAGGTTAACACCATCCTTCACTAATGTATTCATTTGATTTTGATCCAAGTATTCCCCCAGTGTTACGCCCTTCATACCGCATACTTTTTTTTGTTTTTGATTCCGGCTTCACGGGCGTGTTTTCGTTTCGCCGCTCAGCATACTTGTGCATGTGTGTCGTCGGTGTGAGAGTGCGTCAGGTGCAGACCGCTTTAATCCCTCTGTATGTGTTTGCGCATGCATGTAGTATGACTGTGTAAAGTTTGATAGCACGAGCATCTGCATTGTTTTCCTGGAGAGGTAATACCATGAATCCCTAATGTCCTTACTTCAAATCCTTGCAGGTGCTTTCGGCATAATTGAGAGTCCCCTGGACCCAAAGTTACTTTGCCACCTTGATGTTGTTTTTGAGTGTGTTTGTGTGTGTGTTTGTGTGTTCTTGCTCGCATGGCTAGGGATGAAGCGCTCAACAAAGACAAGCGGTCGCGAGTGATAGCTAGAAAGCCTTAGAGAGGTTTGCCATTTTGCCCCGCAGTCATGCTGCCTCCACAGCGAGCCCATCAGAGAGCACAGAAGCTGCTTATCTGCTGCCGCGGCCTCCTTGCTCACCACCGATACACTTGTTCCTCCTGAATGAGGATGGAGTGAGGAAGACCAGAGAGAGACCAGAGGTAGAAAAGCAACAGAGCCACGTCTGCGCCAGCACCACTCATCTCCATGACAGCGACACATCCCATGAATAAAATACAGACACAGTCTGCCTTTGACCTTGACAATAGCAGAGAAGCTTCCTGAGAGACCGGAGTGACTTTGGATAGAACTGAAGCCCCCATGCTGGTCAACCTGTCTATCAGATTGTCTCGTCGGCGGCTCTTATCTGGGACGTAGCAGATCATTTATGCACTAAGACAGGGGCCCTGAAAGACACCCAGGGCTCCCAGAGGATCAGGCTGGATTCCACCAAGCTCATCTTTATGCCTGCTGCTGCCTGCTTTGTCTGATTTTTCTTTTTTAATTTGACAGTTTAATAGAGTAAGTTCTCATTAATTGGTTAATTAATTGTAAAACTACTTTGATTTATTGTCATAACGCTGTCATTTTTCATGAGATAATGTCTAAAATAGAAATTCTCTCATTTGACTTGAGACTGAAGAATATCTAATGAATTTGTTACACTAATTGTTAATTTTTGAAGACGTCTTTGCTTTGATGTAATGAAGTCATGATCAGCAGCGCTACGTGAACATGACGCCGCAGCTTCACTGAGGCCGTCTTTGATTTTATAAGACACGTGGCACCTTGGTTTTATGGAAATGCGAATCGGCAGGCAGCGAGAAGTTGACAGGTAGGGGAGAGAAAGGGAGCACAGACAAGAGAATGAACAGTGTCTAAAGAGCATACAGAGATTTATTTATTTATTTTTATACTTGGCTTTGAGGCGTTCGCAGCAAGCTCGGACAGAGAAGAGCAAAGAGAGCCAAAGGCCCGTTTGTCACCGAGTTACAGCCTCCCATGTGTCGCTCAGGTCACTTTCTTTCACCGGGACCGGGATTATGCTGATGCTGCATGTGGCTCGGTACTGTCCACGTCTTTATGAGGTCAAACGAAGATGGGAGAGAGAGAGAGGCTTCTTTGATGCCGTGTACCCCAACCTTCCTCGCCGAACTCATTCACCACGGCTCAGATTCCTGCCTCCTCTCATAAACCAGCTTTGTGTATGGGTGTGTTTGAAATTGTGAATCCGTACGTACTCAGATGGACTTGACATAAAGCGTGCTGC